TAGCAAGTATTTATGGTGAGGCCTTTGGAATGTGAGTGAGGTCCTGAGGCCTCAGGAGAAACTGGCACTGTCTTCTACCCCAGCACCTAAGTCAGAAACACAGCCATCACCTGTTCACCTGTTAATGCATTCCTGCCCGCCCCCCCCCCCAGGTTCTCACACTCACAGTGTTACTCCTTCTGCAAACCGGGCACCCCTCACCCTGGTCCACCCACACAGGATGCAGTTGTATTTTGACTCCTCCTCACCCCTATCACACCTGATTTGCTGGCCAATTTTTAAAAAATGTATTTTTCATGAACTTGGCTCGACCATCAACTCCTCCAGGGAGCCTTCCATGATTGCCTTACTCAGCCCATCCTTCCACAGTGTGGCTTAGGTTCCCAGGTCTTGTTCTCCCAGCGCTGTCATGGGCTGCCTCCCTACCCAACTGACCTCTTTAAAAATGGGAACTGTGTGGAGAAATCTTTTCTCAAAGTATTTTTTTCTCTTGTGCTTTGCTCTCTAACCTTTATTTTGACTTTTTTCACATCTTTTACCAGCTGAAGTTACCACCTTTCTACAGACTTCCTTTTTCTTTGCATCCCTTCATATCCAGTCCGTTCCTATTGGCTGTGCTTGTTTTCTGGAACTCACCCATGGCTTCTCCTGAATTCCACTTCACACACACACACACACACACACACACACACACGTTTCATTTTCCAAATCCTTGAATGAGAAAACTAGGGGGCGAATAAAGGAAGGCATGCATTGCCAAGTTCTCTTTCACTCCTCCTTGGACTATTACTCTAGAATTCCTTTTCTCATAAAAACACGAGTTGATAGAAAACATCAGTGCCTGTGGTGATTTAAAAAATAAAAAGAGAAAAAAGCTTCCTAAGTCTGTTGAAAGTAGCTTACGGAACACCATTACCCCATCGCAGAGTTGCGTGAACTGATGTCTTTTTCAGGACTGTGGCAGGCAGGTGCTCTCATCCGGGGACACTGTGTACTCTCACATATTTGTGAGGTTGCTCTTTGGTCATTGTCGTGATCATGCCTGCCCCAGTGGCTCTGGGAGGACCAGCTCAGGGAGGCCTTCAGAACACATTGCAAATGGAACGTGAAAGCAAAGATGGGCCCATTTAGATGCTCGAATCCACTTTCACCGAAAAAAAAGTTCCCAATTTCCTCACCCCAACAGCAAAGCTAAGATTAGATATCCTGGGGGAAAGACTGAAGAAGGAAACAATCCTGTAAGTGAATGACCACACCCTCTTCTGTCTGATGAACCCAGAGGAGCTTCCAGAAGCTTCCAGGAGCTCCATAAGCACCTACAGCTGCAACCCACTCCTTCCTACTCGGAGCGAGGGTACCTGCCCACGCCCTGTGGCATTGCCGCTGAACTCCACACCTGCACGAATTGTCTGCTGCCTCCTCCCACTTTCTCTCAGAGAGAAAAAAGACAAAACAAACCAAACCCATGCCAGTTGAGAAGCTAAGAAGCTGGGCTTCTCAGAAGAAGTCTAAAGAAGCACGAAGCATTGGGACGTTGGACCCACGCTCACTTTTTCTTTTGGAAGGTGAGGATGCTCTACCCTGCACCATCTGTCTCATGGAGTTACTCTATAAAAGTTTCTTCCCCAAAAAGCACGCATGAAAAAGTTCCAAAAACTCAGCTTCTTATCGCCAGTCATACCCCCAGGATCAACATACACAAATGATTGTTCATACACAGATGTGAAGCCAACTTCTAGATACAAATTGAGAAATCAGGTCTGAAAAGACTAGAGATGTAATATATTTTGTAGAAGTCCGTGGCATGAGATATGTAATATGGCTAATTTTATTCATCATGTATTTAAGGAAAAAAAATCTTTTTAATGCTTGGCACTTCCTAAAACCATTGATCTTTTAAAATCATTTTCCAATAGAAACATTTCTAAACTCTCTTTATTTACTGATCAGTGTTCCCCCGCAGTGGAAAAATGCTCTAGGAAGGCCATTATGTAAAGGTTAGGAAGATAGGGGAATTGTAGTTTTTCACAGAACGACCTTTGTGGACCAGTTTTTGAAAAAGAATTTGCTCCGCTTTCCAAACACGGATGAGGGCCTGACCAGCCCTCGAGTTCAGCTGTGTAAACATCAAGCTTCCAGACTGCTTGGAAAGAAAAATCAGAGCAAAACTTGAAACAACCGGTATAAAGCCAGAATAATACAGTGATATTATTGATTGTTTCCCCATGCACTAACCTATGAATTTCCATCCACCAAGAAAGGAAGAAGAGCAAAGATCATTTGATTTCTTCATTCCTATGCTGTGGGTCTAACAAACATTGTAGAAAGCAGTGTTTACTACAGATATAATTTTTGACATGCTTTGACTCAGAAGCCTGTGGTTTCTGATCATCTCTGAATCTAGCAGTCTCCATTGACAACTGCATAGTATTTCATCTATATATATAAAAGCCTAAGCGACTTTTACTACCGGTTGACCGAACGACCGGTCCACCGGTTGCTGTGATGCGCACTGACCACTAGGGGGCAGACACTCAACACAGGAGCTGCCCCCTGGTGGTCAGTGCGCTCCCACAGCCAACCTCCTGTGGCCAGCCAACCTCCCGTGGTCCCTCCCCCTGGACTGGGCGAGACGGCCCCGATCACCGGCCATGCCAAGAGACGCCACCCACGCACGAATTCATGCACCGGGCCTCTAGTTTTGTAATAAACACCATGACATACCTACAACTTTGTACACAAGTGGGAAAAAACAGTCCTTGAGTCCCCTTTTAGCACAAACTGTAAACTTAACTGGCAAAACTACTTATATTGCTGACTTGATTGATATTTCTAAATACATTCATTAATAGCTAGCTGCATTTTTAGGCCAACTGTATAAAATAATTGAGCTGAGTTGTTAATAGTAATAGGGTGGCAGTTTATTCACAGGTGTTGGGGGAAAGCTTATGAAATGTTCCACAGAGTTCAGGATTGATTTAATAATCATTTAAAATACCTACCCTTAGTTTTCCCCAGCGACTCCGTGTGTGAGAGCTCGGGGCCCCTCCTGAGGAGAATGAACTGGCGGTGGCCCGTGCATTGGCGTGGGCCAAGCTCATTGCTGTCCTCTGCGCACGTGGAAAGCTAGATGAGATGAGGGATGTGGCAGGTTTGATCCAGCTTCACACAGGAGGAAATGATTCAAAACCACTTCACAGGCTGCTTCTGAGGAATCAGCATTTCAGCTTTTTTCCTGGACACTTAGTCTGCGTTTGAATTTGTCATCAGCTATTAACACTAACTTAGAGTCCAAGCTGAAATCTGTCAAAGACAGAACAATCGGAGAATGAGCCAGACTGAAGCGTGCGAGGGATCTTTCCCATCCCCGTGGATGCTCTGTGTGGGAGAGTGATGGGTATGGTCAAGGCTCGTTTGCTGCCTTGCTTGTTTTTAATGCCAGAAGAGGAAAGAAAAGGGCAGTATCTTTTCTGAGAATTTTATTAACTTATGTTTTAAAAACACCTTTGCTATTTGGTATATTAATCAAGTTCCAGGGTCAACCTGATGCTGCCAAAAGAAATATACATGAAGGTATTGTGAAAATAATTCCTTACATTTCCCTAATATAATTACCTAATAACTTCAAAAAAAGGGTAAATGTTGACATTAAAATCTTATCCTCCTTGCCCAGCTGGTGCGGCTCAGTGGTTGAGCATCTGCCTATGAACCAGGAGGTCACGGTTCAATTCCTGGTCAGGGCACATGCCCAGGTTGCAGGCTCAACCCCCAGTAGGGGGCACACAGGAGACAGCCAATTAGTGATTCTCTCTCATCATTGATGTTTCTCTCTCTCTCTCCCCCTCTCCCTTCCTCTCTGAAATCAATAAAAATACATATTTATTAAAAAAGAAGTCTTATCCTCACTGGCAAATGTTTTCCCTTTGTCCCTACAGTTTGGGTCCAAGAATCTGGAAACAGCAGCATTCTCATGAAAAAAAAAAAAATCATTAGAATTACCTAAGTAGTTGTGATGGTGTTAGTCAATTTCTTATCTGATATATTATAAAATAAAAGTGGAACAAATTTTGATTGGACCATAGACAGTAATTTGAACTTCATGGCATTTGGTAGGGAAGAGATTAGATTACTTGCCAAGTCCAGTCACAAAATATTGATCATTTCTTAAGAGCACAAACTTGTTCATAGACTTCAAATCCAATGGGATGAAATCATGTCTGGTATTATCTAAAAACAGGCGGGTTATGTTCTCATCGTGTGTGTCCTATCACATCACTTTGTCTTTATCACAGAGGGTTAAGCTGAGTCTGTTAGAATGCATTTTCCTCTAGGACACACTGGAGCAGCGAGGGACTAGACCCAGCCTTGAAATTTACCTTGAGGCTTATCTGACATTCACTATTTCATTCAAAGCCTTATATTTGCTGCAATTTAAGTAGATTTTCCATCATGAAAGATAATTTTATAGATTCTAGGTTTCTGCAGTTTTGTGTGTTGTTTTTTTTCTAGTTACCATCTTCTGCTTTGTTCTATTCAGAAAAGATCGGGGGCATGGTTGATTCAAATAACTATGGGTTAAATATTATGTGTGGCCCTACATCTCCCGTCAAGTGTTGGGGGAAATTTTCACTGATTTAAGTAGGTGTTATAGCTCAGTAAGGAAAGGGCCTATGCTTGGCAAGAAAGCAAGTATGGAAACTGCACTCACAGCCAAACGCACAAGAATAGAGTCATTGGTTAACGTAAAAGGAAATGGTTTTGACAGATTTGCACGCTTGGTGGGGGGCGGGGTTAGAAATCCACCAAAATTTGGGATTCAAGTGCATGTGTATCTTGCTGTGGGAGAATCTGACCTAAACGTGGGAAGCGGCTTTCTGTCCATTAAACACTATTATTATCCCCTCCGGTCTTTGTTGTCACCGTGGCTTCGACTCTGTTGTGAGAGCGGTAGATCCGATGTGTCCAGTCAACCCTCCTTTTCCTTTGTGCTCTCTGTTTAGACGTGGAAGTAGAGCAAAGCAGGGAAGAGAAGAAAGAATGCTACTACAATCTCAACGACGCCAGTCTCTGCGACAATGTGCTGGCCCCCAACGTCACCAAGCAAGAGTGCTGCTGCACCTCCGGGGCAGGGTGGGGCGACAACTGTGAGATCTTCCCCTGCCCGGTCTTGGGGACTGGTAAGCATTGGCTAAGAGGAGGTGTCGCCCTTGCCCTTGGTCATGTGGTGGCGGGGTGTTCTCATTCTGGTTTGAATGAGACGCTGGCAATCACTGGGAGCTGCCCGACTGGAATTCAAGTGAGGCTACCTTAGAGCGTGTTCCATTCAGAGCTGGAAAAATCACCTCAGTATGCATTCCTAAAGTTCTTTCCGTCATCGAATTTACGGTTACAGGGAGGTTCAGTATTGTATTTGGCAGAAAGAGAATTCCATGTTACCCCATTTTTTAAAATGGAAACCAGTCTTTTTTTATATGTAACAACGACACAGCATGACCCATACCTAGCGATTGCGTGTTTAAGCTAAGATTTCGCTTGATGGATTCCTGTTAAAACTTTAAAATACTAGAGACCACAGTAATGGAGAAGTAAGTGATAACCCCCAAGTAACAACATGAGTAGGTAAAATATGGGCGAGCTAGGAAGGTTTTATAAAAATAATTATAGGTAAACCTCTGAAGTCATTGGTTTTATTTGCACCTAATGCATAATTTTTGAGATTGTACTGAATTTATTTGTCTGAAGTGGATGCCAAAGTTTGTTTTAAAGTTACTGAGTCCTGGGGTAGGATGGGGGTTGGGGGAGGGGGCTAAAGGGTCGGGAAGTGGGGGACAGCTGTAATATTTTCAATAATAAAAAAAATCATAAGATAAAATAACACATTTATGGAAGATGTTGATGTTTTTCTCTTTCAACTTTTTTCTTTGTCTCTCCTGAAATCAGCCGAATTCACTGAAATGTGTCCTAGAGGGAAAGGTTTTGTCCCCACTGGAGAATCCTCTTATGAAGTTGGTGACAAGGACTATAAAGGTCAGAATCGAGCAGAAATGAATTTACAATGTGTGTGCATATCAGACACTCAAATAAAAGCATGGCTGGGTTAGACAGAATTAGAGTTCTTTTGAGCCAGGGAAACTGATTATTCGGCCACTGGAAGGAACCCCTGTGGAGTCTGGGCAAGGCTGTGCGTGGCCTGGGAGTTAGAACTTCAGGCACTTCACCTTCTGAGTTTCCAGCTCTGGGACAGGAATGATATCTTCAAAGTTGTTGCCCAACTGGTGTGTCTCAGTGGTTGAGTGTCAACCTCTGAACCAGGAGGTCATGGTTTGATTCCTGGTCAGAGCACATGCCTGGGTTTCAGGCTCGGTCTCCGGTCGGGGGCATGCAGGAGGCAGCCGATCAATTCTCTCTCATCATTGCTGTTTCTATCTCTTTCTCCCTCTCGCTTCCTTTCTGAAATCAATAAAAAAATATATTTTAAAAACAGTATCATGAGGACTAAATGAGATAATATATGTCAAGGTGTGCCTAACGCAGAATTCTGTACTTAATAAATTTATTCTTTTATTCCAGAAGCATATTAGAAACCTCATGTTAAGACTATACATTTGTCATCACGTTGGTCTTTAATGATCATCAGTAAAGCTAGCATTCTTGCTTGTTTAGAACTCATCCTACTATTGTTAGGACCTTTTACTTATGGCCACAGATTCGTAATAAGGAATGGAAAAGAAGAAAGGAAAAGTAGATGTGTTTTATATATTCAGTGCTATTAATCTATAATTCTAAATTAAATGTGCAGCCTTTTTATTTGGGTGAAATTTAAACCACATGTATGAGTATTTCCTCATTAACCACTCACTTTTGACATTTCCATGATAGAGATATTAAGTCCTTTTATAGACAAAGTGATTTTTTTCTGTAAAATTTAATATTGAAAACTGCTACATGGATGGAAAACATTTTTTATTCATCTTTTTGGAAAAATCGTGTTTTAATAATTTGGTATAATTCAGTAGCTGGGTAAGAAATTCCATATGTGTTTTTAAATACATCTATGATTTAGTCCAATTAAATAACAAGACTCGGTTGGTGATATGTGTTTAATGGTTTTTCAAGTTCACAAATATTATATATGTTTTTGCCCGGATGTAGTTAAATCTCACTTTATATTGTGAGATGAAGCCCTGAATTCACCACAAAGTCATCCCCTCTTTTATAGAAAAATAAATTCCTCCTCCCCCTATCTTTAGCAGCACTGGAAATGATTGGAAGAATATTAGGTTCAGATCTAAACAGCCATATATTTTGGACTTGGTTTTGCCATTTTCCAGCTGTTTAACTTGGACCAATTCATCTCCAGTTTTTTGTTGTTGTTCTTTTTTAGAGAGAGTGGAAGAAAGTGAGGGATGGAGATGGAGAGAAAAAGAAAGAGAGAGAAACATGGATGTGAGAGAGGCACATCCACTGGTTGCCTCCAACACTTGCCCTGACCGGGCCAGGCCAGGGATAGAACCTGCAACCCAGGTGCATGCCCTTGACCGGGAATCGAACCTGAGACCCCTTGATGTATGGGCCAATGCTCTACCACTGAGCCACACTAGCCAGGGCTGGAATCTCCAGTTTTTAAAATGAGGACTAGAGGATATTAGCTCTAAAGTGTAAGAACTGATGGTAATAATAATAATAATAATAATAATAATAATAGAAGTAATAAGTAACACTTTTTGTGAGTACTAGTATACTGAATTCTCCACGTGGATTCTCTATCACTTAATCCTTCCAATCCTATCAAATAGATGTTTCTATTATCTCTAATTTACCACTGAGTATCCTGAGCACTCTAAATTCTGTGGGGGAATGGGTCTGCCAACATCCTTAGCAGCTTGTGCCTTTATTAGCTTATCATCCCCAAGAAAGAAGACTTTTATAAAATTCCATCAAACTCTTTTCAGGAGTTTTCATCGTCTCAGCTAATTAAGGGGCCGAAATATGTATTTATAGGAAGGCACATTTCTTCAAAGGCATGTCCTTTAGAGAATATTACTGGTGCCACTGTAGAATTTCATAGACTGTTCCATCAAATACAAGGGAGCAGCCCAGAAACCATCTTCACAGATAGACCTTCCCTATTGATATTTCGGACCTTGTTCTTTAAATATCACAGACAACCCTGATTATGTTTACACCTCTGTGAATTAGCCCCAACTTCAAGAATTTTGTGTTGCTGTGTCTTTAAGAATCTTTGGCATATAAATGTAAAAATATCTAGCGTGAAGCTCAGGATTAGATGTTTCTTCTTGACTGAAAGACCAGAAGCAACTGCTCTGTTTGTTGCTCCATTTCTCACCACCCTCCCCCCTGCCCATAGATGCGGATGAATGCCTGCTTTTTGGACAAGAAATCTGCAAAAATGGCTTCTGCTTGAACACTCAACCTGGGTATGAATGCTACTGTAAGCAAGGGACATACTACGATCCTGTCAAATTGCAGTGCTTTGGTGAGTTTTAAGAGAATAGAGGGTGCTGTGAACATATACAGATGGAAAAAAAAATAAGTCATGCTGGGGAGTACAAAACCAATTTCTTTGCATCCAAATAATGTGTTGCGAAGATGTGTAAATGTTTTATGGATCTTTTTCGTGAGCAAGGTTTAAGAAAATAAAAAGCTTCTATATGCTGCTGTTGGACTAGATTTCAAACGAAGAGTTAATATTCAATGTGGAATTATAATTCAGGTCACTGGTTTGAGTGGAGTGTTCTTTTGGTCTGGGGAACCTCCTGCTTCATCACTCATCCCATTTTAAAATGCTGACCCTGACTTTGATGCTTAAGCAGAAAACCATGTACACTAGGCCGGAAAACACAGCAAAAGGAAATAACTGTGCACTATCCTAAAGAGGCATTTTACCTTAAATGTCTAAGCATTTTCTGTTCCTAAATGTTTCCTTTCCTTGTGTAATGTCATCATCAGCAGGGCAACATTATTTCCCCAGTCAACACAATTTCACAGTTTTATAGTCAGACTACTTTGGATAGTGATGCGTAGTGAATGAAATTGTGGCAGCCCCTGGAATCTGGACTCAGTTTGGGTAAGTGTATGAAACAACTGATTACTGGTTTTTCTTTAACAATTTTTTTTTCCTTCCAGATATGGATGAGTGTCAAGACCCCAACAGTTGCATCGATGGCCAGTGCATTAACACAGAAGGCTCTTATAACTGCTTCTGTACACATCCAATGGTCCTGGATGCTTCAGAAAAGAGATGTGTACGACCATCTGAATCACACGGTACGTTTGGATGGGGGATGCAAGTCTGTGTCCGAACAAATGTCATAAGGTTTTCTGACTAAAATGCAAGCTATTGGAAAAGAGAAAAATGGATTCTGTGGGTATTTTTGAAATAATTCAAATGAAATGCTGAGAGGAATCATAAAATGCATGTCATCTGTACGTAGGAGACTTAATACCCTGAACATACTCATACAAAGGACAACAGTATTGGAGTGGCTGAGCACATGCAGAGCTGTTCATGCCTGAGGGTTGATCACACTTAACCTTCAAAGGGGGCTGAGGAAGATGTAAGTTCAGGGGGAGATAAGTTTGTTTCCCAGGTTGCACTGGAGGACATAGGGGAAGCTGGGCAGAACAGAGGGTGGAGTTCAACAAGGAGGCGGGGAGCCCATGTGTCCATGGGTAGGAATCCCTGTTCCTCCCTGATGAGCTCATGTGCCACTGATAACTGTGTGATTGATCAGTCCATCACCACATCAGGTGTGATGGGTCAGTCCCTCATCACGACAGGAGATTGCTCTGGATGAAATCAATTGCAAGGTCTAAAGCAGCGGTTCTCAACCTGTGGGTCGCGACTCTTTGGGGGTCGAACGACCCTTTCACAGGGGTCGCCTAAGACCATCAGAAAACACATATGTAATTACATATTGTTTTTGTGATTAATCACTATGCTTTAATTATGTTCAATTTGTAACAATGAAAATACATCCTGCATATCAGATATTTACATTACGATTCAAAACAGTAGCAAAATTACAGTTATGAAGTAGCAACGAAAATAATTTTATGGTTGGGGGTCACCACAACATGAGGAACTGTATCGAAGGGGCGCGGCATTAGGAAGGTTGAGAACCACTGGTCTAAAGGTTAGGATGGAGGACTCTGGGATGAAGTGTCACTAGTCCAAGGCTTTGGCAGATGAAATGGGTGAGAAAACTTGAATCTAAAAAATATTATGTAGAGAGAAGTGGTAGGATTGGACAGAGAAGTAAACATGACAAAGCAAAGATGGAAGGAAAGAGAAGACCATCGGGGATAGGAAGTACTGGCAAGATAGTGGGGAGTTTTATGTAACGATGGACGCTATACTGGGAAGGACATCATTGGAACAGGAGGGGCAGGTTGCATTCAGCTGATGGGGTGACACGCAGGTGGAGACGACAGAGGTCTGATCCATGGAGAGAACAGGCTGGCTTCAGAGTTTCATTTGGAAGTCACTCTTAGCAACGGGCATGGGAACTTTGAGCCTCGCCGGCTTCCACCACCATGTGTATGAACCAGGAGCCGTGGTGCGATTGTCACAGATCCCCGCCTTCCCTTTCAGAACAAATTGAAGAAACCGATGTCTACCAAGACCTGTGCTGGGAGCATCTGAGCGACGACTATGTGTGCAGCCGGCCCCTCGTTGGCAAGCAGACGACGTACACGGAGTGCTGCTGCCTGTACGGCGAGGCCTGGGGTATGCAGTGTGCCCTCTGCCCCATGAAGGACTCAGGTGAGCCCTTATCTCGGTGTCCTTTCTGCCGGGGGAGGCGGCTGCTGCTGGTGCTCAGCCCAGGCTCGCAAGGTTCGAGACATCTAACAGCATCCAACTTGATTTTATTAAAAGCAATGAGAGTGCCGTTACTACTTTTTCGGAAAGAGGGAGCAACGAACGTGTGTTTTAAAACTGCTTTGCTCATGATTTCTGTCACTGAGCCGTTTAAATATGCTGCTCCCGCATATCCTGATCGTTGAGAAAGGGGCACATTGCCTGTGTGTTACTGTGCGCCCTGGCTGAATCCCAGCCTGGCAGGCACCGGACCTTCCACTTTCCTTAGGAGCGCGACGCTGCTTTGGGGAATGATCCATTACTGATGGAGACGGTGCTGGAGGGGTGGGGGGGGTAAATCGCAGCCCTTGTCATGGGCTTTGAGCATCAAGTGCAGCGTAAAGTGACGCTTTGGCTCTGGAGCAGGCTTGCACACTTCAGGTCCAATAGGTCACGGGCACTAATTCTTGCTAAGGCAGCAGCTACATCTGAAAATGCTGGGAGTTGGAGGCGGTGGAGTGGCTCCCGAAATAGTGTCCTCTGAAAGTAGGTGGCCTCTTGCGGATTGGGACCACCTGCAGGGGAAGTGGGGGCAGGGCGATGGATTGTGTCAGGATGGCTTGACGTGAGAATTGCATGTATCAGTCGGTACATTTCTGGGCTGCTTAGGATTTTATTTCAGTCCTCAGCGAACGTCTTGGAGGCCAGACCTGGCGTTAAGAGAAGGTTCCAGACCACTGAGGGTGGGTGGCATTGCAGATGCCACGTGGACAGTTGGTTGAAATGGTCATGAACTGACAGCAGGGCATCTGCGACGTCTGGGGGGAGGGGCTGAACTGCTGTGGGAGGACCCTCACATTTGAGCCCTTTATCATGATCTCACATCCCCCGCCCTCTGGGAGAAAAAGCTGTTTGGGGGAAAAATAAGTCAGGAAGAACAAACCCTTGTATCCATATCAAACACGAGAGGGGCTGGTTATTGCTTGGTCTTTCTGGGAATTTTCAGTGACGTGCTAGAAGAAAATCATAGGAATGTCAGAGCTTTGAAAGTCTTTGGTGGAGTTTATGGGGTTTTCTGTCGGTTGGTTTTTCTGGGTCTCCACCATAGTAAAAAATGTTGACAGCTGGCATGTATGAGGCACAGTGCCAGGTGCTGTTCAAGATGCTTTCCAGGTTTTAAGATGTTTAATTTTCCAAGCCATCCTCTGAGGCAGGGGCATAAGTCCCTCCCTTCTCTAGAAGAGGAACTGAGGTACATGGTCCATACCAGCAAGTGGCAGATTCCAGTCCAGGCAGCCTGGCCCAACATCCACGCATCTTCTCCACTTCGGTGCACCTCCAGCCTTTTACCCCGAAGTCTCAAAGCACATCTTAGATAAATGGTATCCCTTGGAATATAGAAGTAGCCGAGTGAAAAATTAAAGCTGAGATTTAATTTTTTTTCTCGTGCATTGTATGCTTAGAGAAGAGAAAAACTACATCTCTAGAGCTAGGCAAAATTAGAGGTGGTGCCTCATCAACTCTGCGTCAGAGTTTAGCACACTAGTGGGCTTAATAGATAATATATATTTGATGGATTAATAGATTAAAGTAAGTCAATAATTACTTTTTTTAATCCTCATCCAAAGAAATGTTTTTATTGATTTTTAAAGAGAGAGGAAGGGAGAGAGAGATTGAGAGAAACATCGATGTGAGAGAAACATTGATCAGTTGCCCCTCATACACGCCCCAATCAGGGATCGAACCTGCCACTTGGGTATGTGCTCTGACTGGGAATTGAACCTGCAACCTTTTGGTGTATGGGGCAACGCTCCAACCAAGCCACCCGGCCAGGGCAAGTCAATAATTATCTAAAATGAGTTTTTAAAGTTTTTATTGATACTCTTGAAAGTATAAAATGAAAATTTTCTACAAGATATGTAGGGTGCCATTATCTCATGGAAATAAAGCCCTATTGACCTGTAAATGAAAGAAAATTTGACACATTTAAACACTGGAATCTAAAGTACCCAGAGATCCCAGTGTCTGTGGTTCTTGTTAAAATAGTTACACTTATTTTAAGTAAATTATTAAAATAATTAGATTTAGTGTAAGTAAATGGAACATAATCACCTGAGAGAGTCTTGATTGAAAACTTTGAAGTTAAATTTTCTCTATGGGACACTTAGGAAGCTGGCAGAGTGCCACCTATTGGTAGTTTGATGTACTGCATCACAGGTGTTTTAATCTTAAGTATTCTTGATGGAAGTCAGGCATAGAAAGGTGAGAATGGTTTAAAAAAAAAATCTCCAAGGAAACTGAAGTGCCACAGAAGAAACTGCACATGTTTGAAGACTTGTAAAACACCCGTGTTGATTAGGATGCAGAGGCATGGGTCCTTTCTTTTGCCGAGAGAGCAGTTTGAAGAACTACTAGTATAGATACATTTGACTAAAAAACCCCTCTAGTTCTGGGAAAACAGATTGGTCTTGTACTTGACCGCTAGGAATAAAAATATAACCATTTTGGCATAAGAAAAATTTGAAATTATATAGGGAATTGGTTGATAATTTTTGGTGTATCCATATAGTGGAAATATAGCCATTTTTTAAAGGAGACAAATCTATAGACTGTAATACAGAATTATGTCTAATTCTAGTTTTTAAACAAGGCAAAGAACAACATGTTTATTAAACCATTATATGCAAGGTGCAGTTAAGAGTAAGAACCATGACTGAAATGCAATCTAAATGATCATTTATCTGTTTTCAGTTTTAAATTATTTACATAATTCTTCCTTCATTTCATTATTTACTGATAGGTACTAGGCAACACATTTTGAAACAAATGTACTGTTTGTACTTACATGAAATTTACAATTTAATTCTGTGAAATAACATGCCATACAATCATGTTGTATTTCTGAATTAGAATAGTTTATTCCTATTGTCACATTTAAATATGGAAGCGATGCCTTTATGTATTGTTAGCTATGACAAAAAAATTTTGGACACTTCCTAACAGCTAATCTACCCCCAATTTTTTCATGAGTTCCCATAAAAGTGACAGAACTTGGAGTCTGAGCGATTGAGCCCGTGATTTCTTCCACGTGCATGCATGGCCGCATGGCGCTTCCATGTTCCCAAAGATCTTACCATAAGAGGCTTCATAATCCCCTCGGAGGTGTGAAGGAAGACAGGGATTTGACTCATGGACTAAACTTGAAAAAATATTGTAACTGGGCAGTGGCTGCAACAGGCCTTTCAGCAGTCACGGTTTAAAGGCTTTTCCAAGAAATACGTTTCCAAAAAATGTTAATAATAACTTTGGAACAGCGTGCACGCGAGGCACAGTGCGTGGTGGCCGCCTTGGGTCTAGGCAATCCAGGGCTCTCGTCTGCCTTGGCTCTGCTTCTGTCGATTGCACTGGACAAGTCACTTCGTTTTTCCGCAGCCAGAGCTGGGAACTCTTTTGTGAGGTTATGGCAGTTAATACTCTCTGAGCATGAAAGCATTTGTCATTTGGATCCTAGATCCTGAATAATATGATTAAAGAAAGTGTGGCTATAAACTATAGTGGAGAATTAAAAAGAGCAAACTGGACAGATATAAAAGGCCGCCTGCGTTGAGTGGCTACCCTGCCTGCACACAGAATGTGTGCTCTGTACACAGACTCTGCAGGGGTCCTCAAACTTTTTAAACAGGGGGCCAGTTCACTGTCCCTCAGACCGTTGGAAGGCCGGACTATAATTAAAAAAAAACTATGAACAAATTCCTATGCACACTGCACATATCTTATTTTGAAGTAAAAAAACAAAACGGGAACAAATACAATATTTGTATTTGCATGTGGCCCGAGGGCCGTAGTTTGAGGACCCCTGACACAGAGCCTATCTCAGTGGTAAGTGGTCCAGTTCCTTAGGGACTGGGTTCTTGGTATCCGTGGAACTCGATCGAATTGGATACCACAGAGGATGGCAACTAAGCAATTTATGTAGTTTCTTATTGAAAAGATGTTTATTTATTTAGAAAGCTTCCCCTTACTCCCCCCTCCAAAAGGGGTGAAATGCTTTTCTTACTATAAAAGGGTTATTGAAAACTAAAATTCCTAATGAATTTTGCACATAGAGCTTTGTCATTTTAGGTCAGCATTACATTTTGTTCCTTCATTTGTAAAATGGCCAGAGAGAGAAGGGCGGGGACGAGGGGAGGGACTCGGCATTGGACAGGGCTGCGCGGCAGGGCAGGAGCTCTTGACCAAAAGTGGGACGGAGATACCGACTTGTGAAAGCCGATGCGTGAGCAGGAATGAATGGCAGAGGAGCCAGGTACAAAGAGGAGGACAGGGCATCGGAGGAAAAATACTAGAAATGGAGCACGCAGGCGGGTTTTTATAACCACCTTGTGTGTTAGAGGAGAGAGCAATGGGCAAGGAAGTCACATGTAGGGGAGGATCCTATGATGGTCAATGATTCAAAACATAGAAGACAAGGAAACATGGTTTGCCTTCGAGCAAATAACATCAAAAAGGAAGGAAACAAACCCTGATGGGGGGAACACACTCCATTTCCTGCTAAGCTGCTGGAAAAGTTACCGTTCCTCACCCCAACCTCTGGAGTAGGCTTGAGCCAATGAG